CAGATGGTTAGAAGAGTCTTTGAAGGGTTCTGAAAATCCCTTCAGCATAGTGGTGAGTGTTTTTCAAAGATATTTATTATTCAGAGAAAAAGACGTAAAGGTAAAAACACGAGAGGCAGAAACTGGAGCTACAGCAGCTTCTGTTGACATTCACAGTCACTATTTCAGTCCTGACTGCCTCCTATTTGTTCAGGTCAAACAGGAAAAAAACATGGAATCGAAACTCTAATTTACAGGGAAGTTGTTTCATTAAGTGAAGTGGAATTGGCTATTTTATATGTTGAAAACTCAAATTTATGTGCATTGACATTAGCCTTGTATTTCCACTGTTGTGTAGTTTGGATATTAAGTTTTAATGTAAAGGTATTCCTGGTTTATAGTATACAACACAGTCGAGGGTGTATGGAAACATAGGCGAAGATGGAGAAGAACATATGTCAGCAGGTGGAGTGACAAATTCATCAAAATCATAATGTCATGAGTACATGGTATGTGCCTCAGCCTGCCAATTAGCAGTGCTCATCATTAACGATTTTGTGTTTCAACCACGTTTAGATAAATGACCATAAATCACAGCGCAGAGATGTTGGAGAGACACAGTCAGGTTAAGTCAGACTGAGGAGTTATTATTAGCAAAGACAAAAAAGGGTTATTTTAATAAATTCACTTTTTATTGTTCAGCAAAAGCAATACAAATAAAAAGACCACGTTGATTTAAGTCTAACATATATGTTTGGTTTTCTAAATAACATTATTTTCATGTAGAAGGCACTTTAATAAATGTGATTTGGGGGGGCAGGGTAAAGGTTGGAATGTAAAACTACATCAGAGGCCAGTTTGGTGGCGCAACAGCTCCCAAATGTTTATAGTGTATTAATGACAGTGGGTTGACATGGCGCAGAGAAATCCTCCCTTTTCTCGGCACTAAAGAGATAAAGTCAATGGAAACACAGGGTCGCTTGGCTCGGGCACAAATGCCACTGAAATACAGTCAGACATCAATGTTTTAGTGGAGTATCTCAGTTTGTATAAACACTAAAGACAAATTGGCCCACTGTGAGTGTGGCAGCGATGCACTCTCTCTCCCCACAATGCATGTACAGCCGTTTGTACATAATGATGCTTGGCATTGACATTTAAATGGTCACCAGTGAGGTAAATGGCCAGTTTGTTTGACATTTTTGTGATGGACTGGTGTCACGTTTAGGTGTCAATTTTTACATTTTATTACCACTGCTATGATGCCTTCTGTGTGTTTTAAAAAGGAATTCATCACCTTATTCAAGATTTTCACAAAGTTATTCCTGCGATTCAGGACAATCCTTTCCAAAACCACAGACCATAAAAATAAGAAGTGCTGCATGAGCGCGCTTCCATTGTTTCCAGTTTATTCTCTGTGAACACCCAGGTTCGAGCTGTAGTTCTACGGTTTCTGTATTTTGGATTAAAGTGCCACATGTTTGCAAGTACCGCCTGAATTGTCCTTAACCACAGAAATAAAATGTATGCAATCTTTAATAAAGTGCTCTTCCCCTTTACCTTTACTAAAGGAAGTGGGGAGGAGTGGAGGGGAGGGACTCTACGCCTGGGCGAGGGCTTGTTTAAGGTCTCGGAGCAACATGGACGCCATGACGCTCTTCTCTGTGTTGATAGTAAGCAGAGCAGTGGAGGACTCCTTCAGCTCCAGCGACACCAGGACCAGAGCTCCGCTGCTGACCGTCCGCCCGGCGAACCTGCAGGTGGGGTCAGAGAACGTGGGTCAGTTTCACAAAACCTCAAAGACACACTGATACTGAGCTGCAGACTGATACTCCATGAAGCTCATATATCCAGAGACAGTTATGAGCTCAAATGTGTTGGTAAGATAGTTAGTGGAGGTAAAATTAATGGCTCAAAAACACTGCAATCGTTGCTCCAAATGGGAACTATTGGGAAGAGAAGTGTGGATCAGGAGTACCCTGTTTCCACCAAATTAGCTAATATGTTTTTTTGGAATTGGGTGAAGCAAAGGTGACAAAAGGTGATCGCACTGATCACGTCCAACTGTCAAAAAAGTTACAAAAATTAAATATCTGCAAATACAAAAAAAGTGAAAAAGGTCCATATCCACAGTGGTGAGAAGTGAGAAAACCTTGTTTTATAAAAAAAAAACATTCAACAGTTGATCATTACTGGACAGGATGATGGAGCCTGTTGGTGTTGGGTATTTCATACTTTTTGAAAATAAAAACAAATATGTGTACTTTGTGTTTTTCTAGCATGAATAAAACAGATGTAACTGTAGTAGAAAAAACTAATTTGTACACAAATGAAATTTGACCTACGTCATTATTTCTGTTATATTATACATATCTGTTATAATCTGTTATATTTATATTGTTGTTATACAGTATATTAAATGTGTTTTCAACTAAAATTCAGCATGGTGCCTAATCTCTTCTTTAATGAAAGACTTTTCTATTTAAAGAAAGTGTAAATGATTTTGTCATTTTACTGAAATTTCCCTTTGAACAGGATGTGAAGCAAATAGTTGATGGCTACATCAATGAATAGCTCACATAAAACAAATATCAAAGAACAAAAAAAAGAAGAGATGAATGTGTTGCCCAAGCGCAGGTCTACACACTTAACTCACATTTCTCACCCAAACCCATAAATCCTCCCGTTAGAAAATTCTCCAACACCTCACACCTTGTAATTACTCTAAATTAGTGAGCGAGACAAAGAAGCAAAACGATGTGACAGGAAATATAGAGAGCAGAGCAACAGACAGTCTATTATCCCAGCTGACTAAAGAGCCATTAGGGGTGAGACACGCCCTTCGTGCCCGTCAAACAGAATTTAGCCTGTTTTTATGGACTGTGGGTGTCTATGAGTCTGTGGGAGCCTCTGGGCCGGTATGGGGGATGCCCTGTCCTACCCGCTCCCTCTGGGCCATCGGGAGAATTCTCAGTCCACCGTTTCCTTGGATACCGTCCCTGCAGACTTGGGCCAAATCTGGGCACACATGGTCCCCATTGAGAGTGCTAACAAGAGGCAGACAGGGGCTATGACCCAGTGTGACCCTCTTTGAGGGGCGACAGAGCCGAGCTGAGCCCCCTCTCTCGCTCCCCTCTGGACCTCTGCATCTCTGAGCCTCACGTGGCTAACTCCCAGCCATCTGCCTCCATTTAGCACTACATCCCCGCAACAAAGACCCCCCGTGGCAGCCCGCTTAGGCCTGACAAACAGCCCACAAAGAGCCCCACTTAGGCCTGACTAAAGCCTGTGAAGGGCCCCCGCAGGACGGCCTCTGGACAGGCGCTGTCACAGAAGCCCCCACGATGCCGTGCTGCGCGTCAGGAGCGACTAGCACGTCCACCAATTAGCATGCACACGTTAAAGACAGAGGGGGGGGCACTGAGGGGACATGCATACACAATGAAACGGCGCTGGCTCACAAACCCAGTGTGTCTGGGTGCGTCTCTGGGGAGCTGCTAAATTACCATCAACAGAGGAGAGGGAGTTTATCAGGGAGCTCTCAGGGAGAGGAGAGAGAGTCCTCCTCAGGCTTAATTAAAATATTAGCCACTTCAGCAGGAAACAGAAGCCATTCAAGAAGAGGAGTCATTTCTCTCAAAAACACCAACCTCTTTGCTCTGCGCTCACTTCTTTAAATAATTCAAGCGTTGTACATCAATCCAAATTACTAATTGTGGGAATTCAGGATGTCATAATTTGTTCCAACCTTTAAAAAATACAGACAAAACAATATATTTTATGCCAAAAACAAAAAAGTCTTTTGTCATTTTCTTGACAAATTTTCTCTGTTTCCATATAAACATTCATACTGTCCCATGTCCGGTTCCCTCAGCCCTACTCTTGNNCTTCTCAGCAGCTTAAGGTGTCTATGTGGTCCCTGTGGCTTTGCTAATGGATTTAGGATATAAATCTATCATTTACTCAGCCAGTTAACACTACCCTGAGGCTGCTTTCATTTTGTCTCAGGAGACGCTGCAGTGGGCCTTTGTTCATGTGTGGTAATAAGAACCAGTCAAAGAAACAAGAGCTTGTTTTATTTATGTTTGATTTCCAAGCGTTCGAATATTCTCACTTTGCTGCTTGTGGTTGTGTGCGCGTTCAGGTGCAAAGACCTGATGTACATCACATCTAGATCTAACACAACATCTGTGCATTTTTAGGTACTAGAAGGGAAAGATTAAGGACAAGCAGGCCTTAAACGGGTCATTGGTATTCTCCTGCACTCTTCACATACTGGGCTAAACACTGGATTAATTGCAGTGTATGGAAAGAAAAGCAAAGCATAACCCCTGGACTCAGAGCAGGCGGATTGGCATCGATCGGCAGGGCTGCGGCTAAGCATCACTCTCCAATTATCTGTGATTCTCCTCAGTGCAGAGAGCCTGTGTGTGCCATCTGCCTCCCCTCCACCCTGCCACTGCAAACACAAAGTGGGCTTCACCTTTACATTCGCCCTCACGCGGAGAAGACACAGGCCACCGAGGACTCTGCAACCTGAGAACGCAGGACTTAACCCACAGCGAGCGCACGAGCCCCCAGCATCTTAAGTTAACGTTCGACCAGCTTTGACTCTCTGGAAATGGAGCCGGTCAGGTACCAAAAAAAAAAAAAAGACTACAGTGCATGATGTTTTCACCCGAAATCACAAACTCAAAAAAGCTGAGGCCAATTGTGTGATGGCTGCTGCTGGGTATTATTTTTCTCTCCTGGTTCTTGGCCAGGTGGACAAGTGGAGGAGTGTCCTTCAACTGAGTGGTCAGTGAGGCTAGAGCAGAGCCCAACACATGTGAGCAGACTCAGACCAGGCAGATGGCCAGAGCTATTAGCCCCAATTAGAACCAGGAACCCTCCACGCATCTCCAGAGCTCGCCCATACGGACAGACTGCAGCGCTGCACTCGAAGGGCAGACGGACGTGAGGGGAAGGAGAGGACAAACAGACTACAGAGGCTGCAGAAGAAGAAGAAAAGGGACAAGAATTTAACTCAACGAGGATTCGAGATTCAAAGAAAATGTTCCCTACAACTGGGTTAAACAAAAATGTGACCGCATATTGCATCTCCATTGCGGTCTATTAACAACCCACATTACATCTGACAATAGATCATAAGCTACAGTGTCGGCTAAAGCAATCTATAATGGAGAGACCAGACGTTTAATTAGTCAGTTTATAAATGATAGTCAATTAGATTTTAAATGTGAACAAGAATTCAACTTCACTGAAAAAGGGAAAAGTCAGTGTTTAGAGAAGCATAATTTAATTATATCAAAGTGTAAAGTAAAGAGAAGGCATAGCTTATAAATCAAGGGGGTTCAGTTGTTTTTTTTTTTTTTTTGAAAATTAGGCTCTAACCAGAGGGATTGGCAATGCATGCAAAATTCGATCAAATTTGCTTTCAAACGGACTGAAAAATAGAGCACATTTATTCTATTCCGCCTGTTTAGACATAAACAAGAACAGCGTTTTCTACATTTGCTTTCCTGCTTGATTTATTGCCATCCTCCTTTCCAGCAATCAATTTCTGTGTTTCAGTGGCATCCCCCTCCGCTCGGCCTCGGGCGCCTGTTTGGGAAAAGCAGTGCTGCACCCTGCTGATAAACAAAGGGAGTGCAGGGATGCAGAGGAGCAGAGTGGGAAGACGGGCTGTTGCCTTGTTAAGCCGAACCTGTGTTAACTGCAATCTATAACTCAAACTGTCTGAGGTCAGTTTAAAGCTCAGCCGATATGTGTTGTGAGCTGTATCATTCTTAGGCTTCATATTGAAATCTCATCCATTATTTCTACATTAAACCCAAACTCTCCCTCCGCCGAGCGCAGATACTTTGTGTGATCCGACCCGGATTAGAGGAGCCCTTCTCTGGGGACATCAGGGGGAAGAAAGAGGGGTCCTGGATGGAGGTCACCTCACACATCACATTTAATGCCAAGTGACCTCCACAATAAGCTCTCAGTGGGTGCATCCGATCAGATCGATCACTCTGCTCTGTGTGTGCGTTATTCAAAGTATGTACAGCAGCAACACACAAAAACACCATGACTAGAATTACCAGAGCTAAAACAGGTAGTCGATTGGGAGAAATTGAATCAATAAATTTGAAATCAATTATTGATTTCAGTATTTATCAAGAAAAAAGGCAAAATATTCTCTCATTTCAGCTCCTCAAATATGAAGAGCTTGTTCTCCAAGACTCTATTAGCATCCAACTTAGGGATGTGGGGAGAGGAAGATAGAGTGTAAATAAAGACTTAAAGTAAGTACTGTTGATTAATGTGAAATTGTCTTTAATTTGTCTGCAGACATTATGAAACAAATGGAAAAGGAAGCCAAACAAAACAAACCGGATGACAGAATTAGCCAACCGCTCCAATCTCGAGTTGCCAACTTAAAAGAGCAATCACAACAACGGCTGCAACTAATGATCATATTCATTATTGATTGCTCTTGGTTGTAAATCGTGATGAAAATGTCCATCATAATTTTCCCAGAGCCTGTGGTGACATTCTTGTTTTGTCTGACCAACAGTCCAAAACCAAAAAAAATATAGAAAAACAGGGCTGCACAAGTAATCACAAATATTAATGAAATAGCAAAATGGCCAAGTGCAATATCTAAAATCTCGGAAGCTGCAATTTTTGTGCTAACAGTAAAATGTGAGACAGAACAGCATTATAATAAAGTACTGCACTGGACTACAAATCTTGTTCTCCAGATGTAAGAATGTTTGTTTGGTACAGAGCAGCAAATGTCACATCATCATGACATTAATAGCTTTTTCAGCGAAAATGAAAATTGTGACACAAAAAATATCATTCCACAGTCATAAGACAGAAAACTGGGAAATGTAAGAAGCTGAAACCAGTAATGTTAGGGAACATTTTTGCCTTTAAAATTACTTAAATGATTCATCAATTAGAAATACTGTTGCAAATTAAGTTAATGTTGATCGACTAATCCATGAATCGCATAATTTTACAGCCCTAGTCACGACAAAACGATAACTCAATCATTAAATATCCAGAACCTGTGCAGATTTAGAGGAACTATCTGGATAAATTAAAACACAAAAGCATCGAGTCTTGCTTTCTTTGCGACAGCCTCTCAAATAAAAAGGCTGTCAAACCTTCTCGCTGACTGTGGATTTTGTCAGTGAGGAATGCCATCATCTCCAATAAATGGACCTCCTGAGGACAGCGTGGAAGAGCCAGTCATCATAAGGATACCAGCGGACAATATGGAATAGAGCGTCTTCATTATTATAAGACTGCGGGGCGACACTGGAAGTCTTCCTCTTTAGCCGTCACAGAAACAGGAGAGAGATTGATAGCATGGCGCCAGTTGAGCTATTGGTTATTTGAATGAAGTATGAGCTTATTGAATGCAGGCCTCTCCCACTGGCTAACATTGATTTCCACTCACTCCTTCAGCTCCCTGTGCCCTTGTGTTCCTCACTGTCCCTTACTTATCTACCCTCTCTTACATTTTTTCCTCTATTCCAGACCTTAACCCACAAAAGAAATCATCACCAACACAGGATCACTCAAAGACGAGGAGAGATTGTCTGCACAGAGCGAGGTAACAAAAGACGGACAGAGAGAGAGAGAGAGA